CAGTCTTACATCGGGGAAACAAAACAGCCACTGGCCAAAAGGATGGACCAGCACAGAAGATCAACATCATCAGGCCAGGATTCTGCGGTCTACACTCATCTCCAGGCCAGCGGTCACTCTTTCAGGGATGAAGATGTGCACATCCTGGATAGAGAGGAACGATGGTTTGAGAGAGGAGTAAAGGAGGCCATCTTTGTGAAATGAAACCATCCATCATTAAACAGGGGTGGAGGCCTACGTGTTCAATTGTCCCCCTCTTACAATGCTTTGATTGCTAGTATCACTCAGCCCTCTGTGAACAGTAAACAGCCATCAGTGTGCTAATGATCCATTGTTAGGCTGATGGTCCTTCTTGAGCATGTGATCAGCTGGTTTTGGTTGTCAGCAGCAAAACTGGTTGATCCACTCTGAGAAGGTGCTATTTAAGAGACTGAGCTGAATACAGCACCTCAGATTGAGGAAGTCTCTCGGACGAGAGACGAAACGTTTCTACATTTTTTGTTGTTTTGCTTTGTTTTGGTTTTTTTTTTAATGTCCAGAGGACCAGATTTAACTTTTTTAGATTTTTCTACCTGGATTATTGAGCATGCATCAGAATATGTTGGATGAATTAGTTGACGGGCAGATCTGCCACATCCAATATGGCGTCCACTCAGCCGTGCCACTGCAGCGGGTCAGCAGCCCCGCCCCGCCCCGTCAGAGGGAGGCGGCGCCGGCCACAGTGCAGCTTCACAGCGGCTCTGACTCGCTGTGCTTCTCGCTCAGTCCTGCAGCGGAACACGTTGTTCTGTTGCCGGTTCTGCTGCTCCTGATTCTCACCAGTCGGTAAGTACTCGCTCGTGAACTATGCTGTCAGCATCACGCGACACTCGCATCACGTTTGTGATGCCGGGTGTGTTTGTGCGCGCGACCACACGAGCCGACAGAGCATCTCTGCGGGACGGGATGTGACAGATTCTCCGAGTCCCGGTTCTATCCCTTCAGGCTGGTTATTGAACCGGGCCGGAACGAGGATAGGTTTGTGAGCGGAGAACCGGTGAGATCCAGTCAGAACCAGATCCTCAGACAAGGCATCCTTCAGGAAGTTTGGATCTGCTGCATTCTTCTGAACCCTGGACTGTGTGTGCTACTAGACCAGGATCCCCTGAGCAGGTCCTGGTCTCTGGCAGGTTCCCTCAGCCCAGTCCCAGCTGCACTCGGGTCCTGGTTTGATAAAGAACCTACAGACTTTATGCTTTTATCTACTTGTGTTCTTCCTGTTGAAGAGTCGTGACATCATTTTACATAAATATTGTTTTATTTTACTTATATTTCATCAGTTTTCAGGTCCAAAAAAGAAAAAGATGAGTAAAGCGAGATCTAACACATGAAACAAAAACCTTTTAACAACCTAAATCCACTGGTATAAAACCAAAATTAAAATGCAAGATCAAAAGGAAGCGCAGCTGAATGTTCAAGATCTTCTCTAAAATTATGGACAAATCTGACAACTTTTCATGCTCAAACATCCTTGGAAACAATTTTCCAGTTTTTCGGTTTTAAAATGTTCTAACATTCCTGTTTTTAACATAAATGAACGTAAAATTCATCTAAAGTTATTTTATTAAAGCATTTTGTATAAGCATAAATGATGTAGTAGAGAGCTATGTGTATGTGTATGTGTGTGTGTAGTAGAGAGCTGTGAGGATGTGTGTGTGTAGTAGAGAGCTGTGAGGATGTGTGTGTGTAGTAGAGAGCCGTGTGGATGTGTGTGTGTAGTAGAGAGCCGTGTGGATGTGTGTGTAGTAGAGAGCTGTGAGGATGTGT